ATAGGCTAAAAGGCATTATAACATTTCTATCTGTTACACAGTTGTGCCTTATAAAAAAAACCTTATCGTTTAATATCCTGGCTGTGTGCATACTTCCTCGGTCCTCCGTACACTCTGTTTCCACTTGTCATTCTGGTGCACAATCAAACACAATGGAAAACATATAGAAAGAATTCAAAGAAAAGTTGAAATGCTGAAACTGCAGAGGCTTTCACAGGATGCCAACTGACTATAATAGTTTGATCTCACACAACTGCGCTGACACCCTCGAATAAAACACATGTTTAATGAAACAAATGAATATTGTGTTGCATCATACAGCTGGGTGAGCTGCATAATGTCACTCACATAATTTTCTGGATGTTACTCCGGGAAGAAAATAAACAAGAGTCGCTATTCCTCTTGCAGCGTGCTTACTTTGTGCACAGCGTGGCAAATTGTGCAATTTTGTATGCAGTCTAAATCCAAAGGGCAACCTGATGTGGGGCCAGACATCTACAGTAATTTAGGGGGAAAAGTTAAAGAAGAGGAGACATGAAGGACCTCTCTCTTTGTCTCCCTCCCCTCCTCTGTCATCCCATTATGGAGGCAGCAGCTGGGACGGAATTACTCTAAACTTCTCTACTTAGCACCACCACCGTCACAGCGTAGTGATCTAAGGAGCTCTTTTAAATGGGTCTGTGTGTAAGCCCAGGCTGTCTTTTCCTGCCTTTTTGCACATGATTGTATGGCTCTGCATGGGTGCATTTCATGTGTGTGTGTGTGTGTGTGTGTGTGTGTGTGTGTGTGTGTGTGTTTGTGGTTATAATTGTTTATCCCAGAAAAAGCTTTTCTACTTCCGTGTTGACATGTATTTTCCAGCAGCGTGCATCACACAAAATAAACAACTCTCTGAACACTTAATTTGCATGGACTGGTGAGGTCAACCCACCCCCCACCCACCCTTTGTTTGAATGACAGGTGGTTAGCCTGCATGTTTCTAAAGAAGACCCCAGTTTGTGTACTGTGTGCCCTATCTTATATAATAATATAATGTTACAACTGGAAAACAAGACACAAGTTTAGTGTAGATTATTGTTGTCAAAAGCCCAGAAAATGTTGAAGTTTAGCTGCAAATAACCAGCAGACAGACGGATTAATGTACAAATGAGCTCTGATCTTCCTTCCTTTTGAATAAATGCATGTAATTGAACCTTTAACACCAATGTACACTGCAGAAGTGACTGGGAGTAGCTCTACTATCTATGCTTGAAAATGAATGGAAACATGATTATAATTATGAACAAAATGTAGGACTATCACCTACTTCTGATGTGACTCAAGGTCACCAGTGTCATTAGATTCATTCAAACGTGAACGCAGATCTTTTAACTGGAAGTAAACTGAAGGCTTATTCTGTTACAAATAAAAGTCCTGCATTCAGAATTTTAATCAAATAAAAATGGTCAGATAATCACTTTAAGTCTCTCATTACGCAGACAGAAATGTTGAATTATAAAGTGTATTGTATTATGTTTTCTTTATTATTATTGATGTCTTAACTTATGAGACGAAGTTTAATGTTTTAGTTGGTCGAGGTGGAGTTAAAAACTACTTTATATGTTGTTGGGTAGTTTGATCTATTACACCATATTTTATAAGTTATTGCAGTGTGTGTGTGTGGTGTGTGTGTGGTGTGTGTGTGTGTGTGCGCGCATGTGTGAGAGACTCTTTGATCTTGCTGCATTTGGAGCCTCGCAAATGTAACTTTCCTCATAATAAAATTCTTATTTAATTCAAGCTAACTTTTGGGGGTTTGCAGCGGTGCATTGTGGGATTACACACCAGTGCAATCCTTGCTGCAACTTCTGGATATTATATAACATTGTTCTCGGTTGATGCTGATAATGCGTCGTTTTGTGCTACCTGCTCTGAATCCAACTCTCTTCCCTTTAAACGCCGGAGATTTCCAGTGTGTATTCTCCTTTTATTGCTTTAATTTGCATATAAATTAAATCCATATTGTGCCTGCGAGGCAGACTATGCTAACTATGCAAACGATCCCTGGCTTTTCTTTGTTTTACAGATAAACCCTCGGCTTCCTAAATGACAAGGTGGAAGGGTAGCGGGGGCGGGGGTGGGTGGGAGAGAAATCCTCTCGCTGTTTCATAATTGTATGAATTTTAAATACATTGTCACAGGATCCTCTTCCGCATTCACAGCGGGGAATGAAACTATCATTATAATATTAGAGCTGTAGGGTTAGCTGACCGTGAAGAGCCAGGCCGCCTCTTCACCTCTGTTCACACATGCAGGCCAGATGGCAAAGAGACTGGATTTAGAAACACGTTAGGCCTGTGTGTGTTCTCTAATTTCTCTTATTTAATTCCCGAAGACAAGAAAGTTGCATTAAAATGACTTTAGCTGATGCAAAATCCTGTTTGTGGCGTCTTCCTGTGGATAAAACCAAACAGACACACATTAGCTCCACAGAGGCCCATTTGATCATGTTGAGATTAAATTAGATTTTGTGTCCAACTGGAAGCAAGTCCTATGAATATTCATTCATAAATTTCAGCGAATAGTGACATTAAATTATTCCTAATATTACTATGGCCCCTGAGGAAACCCCTTAAAGGAGCCCTGGAGGTTTCCACTGCTGCAGAGGTGCTGCAGGGGAGGCCTGACAGCCTTTATAAGACAGTTAACCTGCACCAGAGCCTGGCAAGAACCACAATCCATACATGAACTATGAACAATTTCTACAATAATAACAATAATTAGCTATATTATGGCTAAATTCGTCATTTTGCCTAATTTTATGCCCATTTTGCTCACTTTTTATGCTTTAAGCCTTTTTCTTAATGCAATTGAATACAGTTCCATTGTGCAGTCATTAACAGGCGCAGCATTGCCATCTCCATACATAGGCTAAATAATAAATAAATATCAATTTATAAAAATGAAACCTTAATGAAATCTGAAAGCTGCAGAATATAAGTGAACAGCGGGTCCCTGCTCGTCATTATTGAAATCAATTATTAACACGCTATGCTGTGCGCTTATTAAATCTCTGCTCTATAGGCAGAGCTGAACACAAACGCAGCAGCAAGCACTTGAAATAATTAAAAAGGCTGAAACGCGGAGGCCGTGAACGCCTCCGCTGCAGACCTCTGCAGGCTTGTTAGCTCTTAATTAGATAATCCGATCCGCGATCAGTTGTGTATGAGCGATGGAACAAACAAAAATAATACAAATGGCGGCGAGGGCCGTGTTGCCGGTCCAGAGCAACAGTCAAGAGTTTGCTCCGGGTTCACACGACGTGCCTCCACTTCAAACGTCCGCCTTAAATCATCCACTTTTTTTATAAAACTAACAGTAAAATCAAGATGAAGCGTCTTCTCTTGCGTGTGTATACGTGTTAGGGGAAAGAAAATAAAGGAAAATAATTCGGCACCATTACTGGAAGCTTTGGAAATAAATCTTGACCTCACGGGCCGTTTCCATATAAAGTTTAAGCCTAGTGTTACACAAAGTGGCTTGTTTGTAATAGGAGGATTACACCCATGGACATTGGTGGGAATCAGTGTAAAGTACATGGAGCTGAACTGGATGGTGTTAGTGAAAGGGAGGGCAGGTGGAAACTATGGATTCATCTGGAGTAATTCATAAAAACAAGCTGTTTAGAAAGACAGAAAGAAAGGGAGAAAAATATGCCGGACTAGCCTAAACATTAATCTTTTAGTTGGTTTTTGTTACTTTTATAAACACTGTTAACCATATTTTCGTAAAAACAATTAGAAGGAATGTAGCCTATTTAAAATGGTTTGAATAATTAAAAATAATCATCCAGTTTTCCTTTTAAAAGACCTCACCCTAATCTAATTTACATTAGTTTAATGTAGTACAATATAATATAAATATATAGCCTCTCTTTTACAACATCGCTGGAGATTATGAGGATTAAAAAGAGCATTTTTTTACCCCGGTAAAATTAAATTATGTATGAGTTTGTGTGTGAATTTAGAGAGTTTTCCCCTCCAATATCCCCTTAAAAAAACAGCCAAAAAAAGAAAGAAACTCCCATGCCTTGTTGAAATAACCAATAACAGCTAAACAGTGCAAACAAATCTCACATAATCAGACAAACTTATGCACAGACCCTTCACTTTGTCTGCTCTGGCTGACCTTGGAGTCACACACACACACACACACACACACACACACACACACACACACACTCCCAAACACACACACACACGCCATGTCACAGAGTTCACAGTCAGGCTCAGTCAAAACCTGAACCTGAGGTCACGTAAGGCCAAACGTATCCCACCAAGAAGAAGTTCTTCTCACTGAGCAAAAGACCGAGAATACACTCACTGACAGATTTCTTTTCATTTCATTAAAGCTCCTACAAGAGTGTCCGAGTGAACGAGTAGAGCTGTTAAATCCTGTAAATGCCCAGAATAGATTAATAGGTGAAATGTTATCCATTAAGGAGAAACAAGCAGTGTCTGATTATAGTGAAAGATGAGCTGTGAAACAGGAACTGTGTGTGTGTGAGTGTGAGAGTGTGTGTGTGTGCTATATATTTTTATATTTCTTTCTCTGCCCCATAACCACCTCTCAACTACTAAAATAATACAAAATAAAATCATGTATGTAATTATATAGTCAGAGAGAATTAAAAAAGCCTGTTATGATTAATTTACGGTTTGCTCCTTTAAATTTGTTGCGTGAATTTTATGGCCCCAGTTCTTTTATATCCTTATTTTAGGTCCATGTAGGCATTTTATAAGGATGGTGGGAAGTCCAGTTGAAGCTCCTTGTGTGGTTTAGGTTACAGGATAATAATTAAATAATTATTATAATTTTTTCCTTGTAAATTCCAATTAGGAAATTATAGATGAATTCCATGGATTAAAAACTCTGTATGAACTGTATACTGATGATCCCCATAAACACTGTTCTTATATTATCTGTGGAGATGAATGAAAGAAAGGAAAATGTAGTCCGTCCATCTTCTCTTTCTTTATTTCAGACTACATGTGAACATATTAAAATCTTTGGCTTGTTTGAGTCTGCGGACTGATGTGTTGAAGGGACATGTGGCGCAACTATGGGGGGACAGGGGGGGACGGGGGGACGGAGGGACCACAAAAAACCTATAGAGCCAATTCGACATCCTAAAAACTGAACAGACTGAAAGGATCCGGATGAGAGATGAGCCTGAAATTAAATATATTGTATACAACATGATAACTGTGTGGCTATATAAACTTTAATAACGATCGTTCATTTATATAATTATGTCCATATACTGTTACCATAAACAGAAATCTGTGTTTTTAAATAGCGTTTCCCCCTTTCTTCCAGTTCAGTTTTTTTTTTTTTTTTTTTTTGTTCATTATCTCCAAACAGAGTCAGGTAGCGGGGCCTCAGCAGGAACCTGTCCGGGCCCCTCATTCACTCTCCTCCTTGTCCTCCTGCACGGTGGTCGTTGAATGGTTGTACAGTCCTTGAGCCATGAGCTGCAGGGCCAGGCCGTTCTTGTAGCCGGTGGCCTTTTTAATCTTGGCCCTCTTATTCTGGAACCAGATTTTGATTTGGGACTCGTTCAGGTTGAGTTCCTGGGCCAGAGACTGTCTCCGCTGCTCCGTTATGTACCGGTTGGCCTGGAACTCGTTTTTCAGTCTCTGCAGCTGCTCGGCCGTGAACGCTGTCCTGGGCCGCTTGTCCTCCTTGCTGCTCTTCTTCTTTTTCAGTTTCCGTGTCCTTGGGCCTGGTGTGGAAACAACAGTGGAAATAAAATATTTATTCTACGGCTGGAGCACGAGCACAATGTTACCATGCAACCCTCCTTTGCTTGTATCGACTAAGCGTCTGTGTGATGAGCGATGATTGCGCCTTATTGTCTGCTCGATATGATCACATGTAGGTCACCCAAGTGTCCTGATAGCCTGTGTGTAAACCACCATGCAGACACACTCCTGATTATTTCACCGACATATGCTCGACTGTTGGCTGCAATATGTGCACTGAGTGTGGACTCGTGGAGGTTGCACCAAAGCCACACAACTATTGAGTGTAACCTTTACTACCAGCACACACATACACTGCACATAAGCGGCTTGTTTGTGTGTAAATATGCAATATCAGATCAATAAAAAGTCATTTTAAATAGGCAGTGTTTTCTTTTTTAATCTATAATATTCAAATATATTGTAATATAATGACTTTTTCCTCCGCCACGCAATATAGTCCCACACTGCGGAGGTCTTATTGGCATGAACGCATTATTAATAATTAATATTCCACTGATATTAACTGTGTGTTCCTGATTTACTTCAACGCTTTTTCCCACATGCAGTATCTATCAGGTCTGTACCCGGCCTACTTGTAAAATTAAACAACTTTCTTTTTAAATGGAGGTTTATTATGGAGGGAAATAGTTGAGACATATCAAAGAAAGCTGAACAAATGTGTCCCCACTGTTCTCATGTTGGATGTAAACATGTTTGGAGGAACAGATCCAGGCCTTTGTGTAAAAGTCTGACTTGTTATTGGCCAAAGCCAGCAGCACTAACCCGCTGCCACGGCGCACATGCAATAGGCATAAGTTGCTTTTGACAAGAGTCCCTCACAGCTCCACACCATCGCACATAATCTTTGCAACAAAAAAACAAACACCCAAATTCTGTTGAACAATTAATGGACTCCATCCAGGCCCGTGATTACTTCATCATATAAACATGGCTGCAGCGCTGTGTTGACGTGAGGACTAATCTGGCCGCTGTGCATGCATCATATAAAGCTCAAGTAGCATAAATGTAATGTAATAAGTCGGTCACACAGCTACACGTTAGAGCCCCACACCGGCAGTGAGTCCTTTGGGTTATCTGTCTGTATCTGAGCGGCAGTCCGTGCATTGTGCAGACAGACGCGACTGACATCAGATGACTGTTAATTCTTAACAATAGCGATAGCACACAGTTAAAGGGAGACTGAAAGCGAGCACGTTAATATCCTCCCTATAGCCGTGGAAGACATAAAATAAAAGAAATGAAAAAGTAACAGGAGGGGCGGTTTGACCTTCATGAAAAGTACATAATCGCCATCAGTGACTCACAAAAACACATTGTCAGACAACATAAATGTCTATAATGCCTCATTATTCGGTGTAAACAAGGAGGTTATAATACATGTAAAATAACACAAACATGGAAGCTCGAAATCTGACTTCATTTTGTGCTTCGTAGTTTTTTTTTAAAAACTGTTATACTATAGCTATAAATAATTATTTATGTCTTCTTTCAGTATAAATGACAAGCATCCTTTTAAGCCCTCCAACTGTGTGAGCACACACTGAATGCATCCTGTGCACAAACATCAGCTGACACTCACTGAACCATGCAGCAGGAGTTTGGAGGGAATAAATGCAACAACAAAAAGTAAAGAAAAACAACATGATTTTGGTAGGTTTGTTTTTTTAAATAAGGCGCAACAGTGGAGGAGCTCCTGAGCCAACTCCATCATTACCTTTATTTATTATAGCTTTTAAAGTCTAAACACTGCAGTAAATAATCGAGAAAACATTAAACACTGGTAATAAGCATTTGTAATATATTTGGGTACAACAGGGAGAAAGAAAATCAAACAATAATATCCTATTCTCTCTTTTATTTTGAAATGTCTGGTGTTTTATACTGAAGGCTGGTGAGTGTGATGATCAATACATAATAATGATAGTTTTGTTGCGATGCTATCACTGTATCTAATAAAATAGTACCATGTTTGAGCCGTGTAATGCTGTTCCTCATACATTGCACATTTTAGACAAACTAAACACGATCCATAATTATCAGCTCTCAGTATTTTGTTGTGAACATGCCAGAAAGGTCAAAAACAAAGTCTGATTGTTCCTCAGTCAACGAAAACAAAACATACATTTACATAACACACGGAGGCCTAACGTTACATGTACTGTACGCATAATGTGATGTGAAAATTCATTATTATTATTATTATTATTATCACCCTGTAACAACTGTAGCCCATAAATTAATGTTTATATATATATATGTGTGTGCGTGTGTGTGAGAGAGAGAGAGAGAGAGAGAGAGAGAGGAGTAATAGAAAGTTATTACCTATTTGGTTTCCCTTGTACACTTTATTTTCATATTCATAATCATTTTTATTTTGTTAATATCTAATTTAATTTATATTTTAAAAAATCCTCTGTTGTGATTGGTCGATTTAAAGCCACACAAGGAAGCATTTATAGTAAAATAAATGTAATATTTAATAGGAATAAGCCGACTTTAACCTCCCTCTCATATGAATAACTTTGGGAATGATATTTTTTTGTACTGTGGAGAAAGACGGAGAAAGTTCCCCAGCACTCAGACAGGCTGATAGCGGGGACTACTAGCGCCTTACCAGATGAGGGCCGGTCCGAGTACCGTGTACAGTAAACCCAAGCGGGCCACAACAGCGGCTGGCTTTCCTTCGTGCTGGGCGGAGAGCCTCCATTGCTGCCACTCATAACCATAATTGACGAGGGGCTGTCTGCGTATCTGCCGGTCCCGTTGCTCGCCGGTTCGCCCTGTTTTGACGAGTTCTGCTTGGACGAGGGCGAGGAGGACGTGGACGACGAGGAGGAGGAAGGGGACGACGAGGTGCTGTCGCTGCTGCAGTTGGAGTCCAGGCAGAGGCTGCCGGCGTGCGGCGGCCTGGCTCCCAGCGGGTTGACGTTTTCTCTGCCCGGCGTCTGGCTCCGGTCGCGGTAGCTCGGCTCCTTCCTGCAGCCGAAGTCCGGCCGGAGGATGTTGTCTATGAAAAAGTTCGTGGTTCTGTGGGCCTGCTGGGCCGCCTGGTGGGGTAAAATCATAGGAGGGGATGGGAGGTTCGGCGACAGGGACATGCTCTCCTCCTCGGTCGAGTCCCGGCCGCTGTTGGGCTCTTTTTGCTCTTCCATAGCTGGAGACGAGATTTCGGCCTCTCCGACGCCAAAAAAACTCCACTTGTTGCTCGCACTCCCGCCCCCCTTTTCGGTATCCAATTTAGTCGCACAGCATGTAAAAACAAACCGTTTCGCGGGAATAAAACGAATAAATACCTGTGTTGTTATTATTATTATTATTATTATTTATTTTAATATCACCTACAGCGGCGGCATGTCGTCTCCTAATAGCCTTCCGAGAGCGGGCATAGCGAGCAGCTCCAGGTTATCGCCAGTGTCTGTGCCTCTCCCCGGTGCAGCACAATATCTGTGTATCCGCTCTTCCTAAACTCTCCTAAAACCGTTATCTCTCCCCCCCCCTCTTCCTCACCCTCCTCCTCCTCTTCGTGTGTTTTTTTTTCTTCTTTCCCCTTTACACCCAGCCGGAAGCACGTGTGCGCGTACACACGTGCAGCGGACCAATCAGGAGCCGGGATCGTCCCTGTCACTGTTGACGTCGACCAATTAGGGGCTCGGGATGCGCCGCGGGCAAGCGAGCGCGCGCACTTGGAGCCGCGCGGAGTTCGATCGATATTTATTTATTTCTTTTGGCGAGTTGCACGTGCGTACACACGAACACAGCAAAACAAAAACAACAGCGGGATGTACGCCGTTATAAATGTTACACAGGACCGAGTAAAGTGTGTTATTTTTTATTTAAAGACTCACTCTCGAGTCATATTCTGAGTTTTATGGACTATTATTTACTTCTACTGCACGGAGATTCATTTATAAGACAATTAAATAGGTTAATTAAAGTGAGTGAGGATTTTAATTTAGTTAACTCGCTGCCTACAGGCTCATTACTAGACAGGTGTTTTACTTTTTTTTTTAATGCATTTTTATGGTGTGTTTTACCTTTCTGTATAATGTGGAAATATCTCTCTGCAGCTTTTGACTTATTTCCTTTTTATTTTTGACTGCTAACACAGAAAATACAAATAATTAGCCTAAATATGTCTAAAATTAAGGTCTCATATAGCCTAAATAAAACGTGGCCATTTTTTTAAAAGAAAGAACAGGAACTAGAATAGACTCTAAGCTTATATCCGCAAATCTCAGTCATCCTTGAAGCTGAACACCTATTTAAAAGTGTGTTTGGCCATTTTAAGCGTCATTTGCGTTTTTCTTTGGCATTTTCTGGCCTTTCTTCCGCATCTGTAGCACCTGCGTGACGCACTTTGGGCCCACATTAATGATTTAAACATCCACATTTTGGACAACCCCAGCTTTTGGCAGCAGCACAAAACAACACTTTACACTCGCATCCGTATCCAGCAAACGAGAGGGGAAAATGAAGGGTTTTTTTTTTTTTAGAAACACAATGAGGCATAGAAAGCAGGAATGTGTCCCGATAAATGCGCAACAAAAAAAAAAAAATCTCCAGAATGAGAATAAAATTGCCACCGGGCTCTAATTGGCGATTTGAAATAATAATATTAATAATCATAATAGCAACAGCATGAAAGTGAGGACGTGTTGATGTTTAACACCGCCGCAGTGAAATCTTTATCCCACAGGCCGGAGTGGGGAAGCCATGGCTACTTAATTAAATTCCAATTAGGACAGTATCAATATGCTGTTTAGCCGCAGCGCCATTGTGGGTAAATGAGCACTCAGTCTGCTCTTATCTGGCGCCGCAAAGAGAGGCTCCTTGAGAGGAGCTGCAAAAGATAATTTATAGCTTTTAATTAGTCTTCATTCTGCCCGATCAGCCCGGTGTTCATCACGGCGAGCGGGCTGAATAAAACCCGAGTCAAAAGCGCTGTCACCGGTCCCTGGCAGGGCCCTTAATCAAAGTGAGGCAGGGGCCCGCGCTACAAGCCACGTAATTTCCAAGGTGCTGATAAAGCTTGTTGAATAATAGCGGGGGCCCTCGGAGACACCATTTACAGAAATGACTTTATTGACGGCTTAACGTTGGTAATTCATTTTACCTTTCATGTATTGGGAGCCGGATTTGTCGCCGTAATAGGATGATAAATGCACTGACGGATCGCAGCCCCGGTTTTATTGAGTAGCCTATATACTGGAGGTGCTTCAGCGGCAGGCACACACACACACACACACACACACACACACACACACACACACACACACACACACACACACACACTATGAGACTCTTGTTGAAAAGCTGTCTGAAGTAAAGGCATGACAGTGTGTGTGTGTGTGTGTGTGTGTACCAGCTTCTATAATACAGAAAAAGAAAATCATCTTTTTCACTTGATTATTTCCTTCCTGTGTGGAGGATTAGATGGAACAATGTAGCCCCAGAGCCAAATGAAGGGAAACCATCTGAACAAACAACTGCACTATATTCTACATTTGATTTATTCTCTTTTATCCACCTCAGATTTGGTTCTTGTTTTGGCCTTCTTCTTCTCTGGTCGAGCAACCGTTCAATATTACAGACCTAGGTATAGCCTACTGACAGGTAGCCTAGTTTAAGGGTTCAAAACACTCCTGCAGCACAGTGATCCAGTGATCTTTAATTCATCTTATTATCTTCCTGTACTTTGTTTCTCCTAAATAGTGTGTTTTATATTTCAAGCACATACATTTTTGAAAGTTACTTTTTTTATCATAAAGAAAAAAAGCATCTGGATTGGTCTTAAAAATAAAACATAATAGGCCTTCTTACAAAAGCCAGTACCAGGGCGACAATGAAAGCATACAGATGTCTGCGACCTTTATTGTGAAAAACTAAACTAGTCCAAAAATGTACTAAAGGATGGTGATTGCTGTATGAGTCAGACTGACCAAAACATTTCAAAATTAGCTGTGTCTATTTTCAGTGTTAGACATGTTGAAACTGAAATAACAGCTTTATCATTATTTGTGTTAGAGAATATTTACTTTAATCAAATCTTTAGTCCTCAAATATAAGAGGATAAACCATCAGAGTGAGTCATATTTTCTCCCCGCAACCCAAAAACCTGCATCCATAATCAACAATATCTTGTGTCAGTGAAAATAAGGCAAAACTTTTATAGCCACAAAACCTAATTGAATCATGTTCACTCCAAGAAAGCTCCTCTGTGTCGTTGTTTTTGTTTTCTCTTCAAGTGAATGTGGTGTGTTTGTGCTGAGAATAATCTCCTCTTCGCATTGTCAGATGATTAAAATTGTTTCAGGGTTCAGATGACAAAATAATGTGTGATACTGAGAGGGAAGTTGTGGAGCTTTGCATTGATTGTGGCTCAGCTGCATGCTGGTGCTGCCACCTAGTGGAAGAAGACAGGAACTGAACTGTATTCATTCACGCTCATTCATTTCAAATGGCAAATCTCATCAGATTGTCTGTCAACTGGTGTTACAGCAAAAAGTGTCCGTATTTTAGGAGGCTGTTTAAGCTTCCTTATAGGTGTATTAACAGGCAATGATTTAAGAATATTATTCTAAAAAGAAAAATAAGTTTACTGAGCAGACGTTTAATTCTCAACTTTCCTCAGAACAAAGATAACAAATAACCTCCTTAAATTGGGCAAAATTGAAATTAGGTGAAGAATGAAGAAAAAGTATATTTATGGGATGTTCTTGGCATAAAACACTGTGGGTCTCCACATCTGGAAAGCCAGATAGTCAATAGAAAGTACTTTGGCGACATCTAGTGACTCTAATGTGTAAGTGGCATGTACATTGAAGACCTGTGCTTCACTTTGCACTTGTCTCAAACCCAACACACCATACAGAGTAATAAACCAACCAGGCTGCTTCTTGCATTAATATTAGGTCTGTTTAATCTGTATTTTTTTTACCTGTAGAGAGAGAAAGACAAAATTATAGCCTGAAAACCTACTTGTACATAAAATAAATACATTTTGTATACATTAAATATTAATTTAGTTGAGGTATGGCGAGTTTCTTTCAAGATATTAAAAAGTGTTTTACATAAGCTGAAGAAAGTTTACATTTTATGCACAATAAAAAACATCTGAGAATACAAATATAAAATAGAAATAAATTCAAACAGACAAAAATAATACTGTAGAAATACAGTTGCAGTGCAGTAATAAGTTACCCCAAAATAAGTAAAGGAAATATAAAAGTTTTGTAGGGAAATTAATTAAGCAAATGTACAAGAGAACAATGCATTTAACATCATCAAGTTTTTTCCATCTGTCCTAAAGGTATAAATGTTTTATAAGATACATTCACATATGGCATATGCATCTGTGTGCACTGTGTTCTATACAAACATCTAAATACATTACATAATGTTTATTTTGGGATAATGACACCATATTGTTTCTTTTAAGCAATGCATTATTCCTTGCAATACTGTGCTTGTCCACTAGATGTCAGAGTAAAGCAGCTGGAAAAGAGACACTGGAGCAACTTGATGAACATTTTACTTTAACTAAGGATGGCGACAAAAAGAAGCTTTGATCAGTGGAGACGGCATAAAAACAGAGTGAATGGGATGACTTAAAACATTTCTCTTCCTCCATAAAAAACAATAAAACCAAAAATATAGCCATTTTTCGTTAAAACAGCTGAAAAATAACAAAAACTGTAAAATATCTCGACCTGTCTTAGACCTCTAACCTGCTGCAGTGAGGCTGTAAAACCAGTCTTTCCGTTTTCCACTTTTTCACAGTTTGACGTCTCACAACTTTGTGCCACAGGTGTCAGATTTAAGCAGATTAGTGGCGATGTGAGACAAATGTTAAAGAGCTGTCGCCAACAGAGGGGGGAATTTTCAATGGAGAGACTCTCAATCCTGCCACTTTCTTCCATACAAGCCCCCTTCAAATATTGAAATGCCAGCAATGTAGAGAGGACATGTTTGCATACTAAACGATGGTTATCATTCACTGAGTTTCCTCTCTCTCTCTCTCTCTCTCTCTCTCTCTCTCTTTCCGTCTGTCTGCCTCTCTGTCTCTCTCCCAGGTCCAGGCTCTCTGCAGTAATAATACATGAAGGGCTCCTCTCCCTCATCTATTAATCAGGAGGGAGGCTGAGGTAAAGGAGGGCTGATCTTTGGCCTTCGCACACACACACACACCCACTCACCTATCGTTAATAATTGAAGGGATATTAATGCCGATAAATAATTAAGCTTTGGGGGGATCTCTTTAGAGTCCTAATGAGAAGACGGGGACAGATTGCTCCTTAGTCTCATTACATCTTGCTGAGAAGTTTGTGAAAGCTTAAGGTGATGATAAATGGGCCCCATTGAGTAATTGGCAAATTAAATCGATGCGGACACTTTGTGTTAACAAAATTACCCGTCTCGCTTTGTGCTCCTGCAGAAATGGAGTTGTGTTTTCAGCCATGCTAGTGACATGGCTGTAGGGACAGCACTGTCAACCATTGTTT